GCCATTGCAACTTTAACGCTGTTCTCTTCTGATTTCAGGAGTAGCCTATTTATTCTGTGATTATGGGCAAGAGTAAACAGGTTCCCTAGATGGTCTTCACCAAAGCCAGGCATTTTCACCATTTTTAACTTTCAGTCCCACATACTGTGGAAAGCATAAGTACCAAATTAATAAAATCCCAGGTCTTTTGCTGTGATATTTCTGTTATGGTAGGAACACAGAACTTTTGGAGAACCTAATATTAGTTTCTTCCTATGCGATACCTTTGGTTTTGCCTCCTCAATTCAGGGAAGTATCAGGGTAATTTACTCTGCCTTCTATGTCCTCCTCATGGAAATGCAAATTAATGCACAGCAGGCCAGGCACCAGTAGGTGCTTTGGTGCAACATTTCCAACCTGAGTTCTAGCCTGAGGAGTTAGCTGAGGAGACAAATCTCTGCATTCTTTGAAGTTCATCCTGAGTCTGAATAATTCTGAATTCAGAAAAAGTTCATGTCCTGGATGAGTTTCCAGTAACTGAGGGACAGCCATGCATTCTGAAAAGTATTTCATTAGTTACTTCAGAACAAAGTAGGGTCAACAGTAGAGAGACCTTGATTTTCATAGGAAAACCTACCACTCCTACCATCCCTCCACCATTTTGCTCTTTGAGTAGAAAAAACAGCACAACACATTTTCAGCCTGCAGGACTTTACTGCCCCTCGACACTTCTGCAGCTTCAGACTTGCTTCTCAAGCGTTTTGAGCAATATGGGAGCTACTGGTGTCAGTGGAGAAAGAGAGGGCTTTCTGGTATGCTGCTGGTGAACTTCAAAGCTTCCGAGGAGAAATGTCATCTGCTGTCTCCCAGCTTTTTGCCTGTAGGTGTTCTTAAAAAAAAAGCTAATAATGGTTGTTGCATAGTGCTTGCACAGGTTTGGTAGATAAAATACAGCCTAGTAATATGAGACAGCTGTGAGCTTCATTTTTCAAGCAGCACATGGGTCATGAGTGACCCAATTGTTATTGAGCAAATGAATGCAAGAAAAAAGGAAACTTTCTTCTTCACTGAGACAAACTGTCAGCCTCCCTTGACCTGCCCTCCTTGTCTTTTGAGTTAGCAGCCTGTGTGCCTGTGAGTCGAAAGGCAAGACAGCAGAGCACTTGGTGCCAGTGAAAACTGTGCCAACAAGATGGGCTTAAACCAGAGAAATGTGATTTCCTCTGGAGGAGAGAATAAGAGTGAAGTAGAGACGGAGGAAAGGGATGCAAAGTGTTGTATGTATTCCTCTAAGGGTCATGTTGCCCCCATGTTGCACTTTGTCATTAGCTGAATCACTGGAGCATCCTGTCAAATCAGCCTCCTGCCTAGATTTTTAAAACCTCTAATTGGCACCTGCATGGTACCCACATGGCTACATGTTACCAATGTATCTCTATTTGCCCTGCACAGCTTTTCACAGCTGTTTCCCCCAGTTTCAAGATGCAGTCAGTAACCCACCATGGCATAAGGCAACCCTGGCTTTGGTTGGGACCCTGTGATGTGACCCGGCATTTGTGCAACAGAAAAGCTTCACTTTATTCCTTTCCCTTTTAACCATGAAGCAGATATTTCTCCATGTTTCCTGTTTATCACAGACTGAGCCTCTCTAGACAGGCTATTCTGAGCTTGTCCTGCTTTCTGATAATTGCATGTACATTAAAGCAAACACCCCTGCAGGGTTTCTCCACTCCCCTGTCCTTGCCAGCTCGGAGCTGGACAACATTCCATGGCTTGCAAGCATAGGGCTGCGCAAAAAAAGGCATGCCAGGGGCTGGCAAAGCTCTGGGGAAGAAGGCAAAGCTGCTATTTCTGGCATCTCTTATTTTGCTAGTGAGTTCAGATACCTGTCCTTTCCTAATGACACGATGGCTGCTCAGTCCTCCTGAGCCATGCATCGGTGACATCACTATTGAGATCTACAGTCCGTGTCCAACCCATATCAATCTTTGGCTTCTCTACGAGGATATAAAAAACAAGATCCGGGAGTCACCCATCAGTAGTGACTGCAGTGGTAATTTTGAGAAGGTGGTTTGTTGCATATTTCTGTGAATTGTTGTTTTTCTTTCAAAGGGAAAAGAGGCAGGACACTGCTGTAAGATTTTTGAGGATGATCTTCACCAGATTGCTGTTTAGAGAACTGGGAATCTCTAGATCTTAATTACAAGCATTAGTACCTTTTGCCTCTACCTGGGGTAAAGTCCTGGACTACAAGAAGTCCAGTAATGACACTTTTCCTTCATAAATACCCTTCCACTGAAGGATTATACAAAGTCTTATTTGAGATGAGTAGATTAGTTTTGTCCTTGGTTTACAGATAGAAGAGGTAGCAGACTGTGGAAAGCTGACTGCTGCCTGCGCCAGAGTGGTGCAACACACCACTGAACTGAATACACTGCAGTGAAATGCTGCCAGGCACATCAAGACGGATGCTTCTTAACTCCCTGAAGTTGAAATCAAGACCTCCAAAACTGTATTTCCTCTCAGGATTTAGCTCCCAAGAAGTTAAAAGTATGCACAGAACTTTCCACACTTGCATACTTAAATTGATGAAAGTAAAGTAACTCAGGTTATTTCTTTTTTAATTGGTTTCTAGAGTGAATCTGTAGGTAGTAAGTAGATATTTCCTTTCTACTCTGATCGTCTATTACTGAACACAGGCCATGCAGTGCTGTAGCTGAATCCCCTTGTCCAAGTGATAGTCATAAGTCACTGCCTCTTCTCGTGCTTAAGGACAGTAACCAAGCAAGGACCCTGACTGGATGCAGCCATCTATCACTCACTTGGTCTGAACGTATGTTGCCAGTGAACCAACCAAGAGGTTTTTCAGAAGTGAGTCACCAATGCAATTAGACAGCCCATCTGAAGGGAATTTTATCTTACATAGGCAGGATATCCCCCAGGAGGGAGAACATTGTTGGATGATCCTTGTCGTAGTTAGTGCAGTGGTCACATTCCACATGACATACCTAGTCTTCCCCATCCAAAGGGAATTTTGTTGGAGTTTCGGTTTCTGAGCAGCTGCAATACATGTTGCTAATGGTGAACCTCAGAACTGCTGGAAGAGTATTATGGGAGTGAGTGCTTCTTCTGTTTTGTTTTTCCTCGTTTTTGAAACAAATCCAACTTTTATCAGTTATAGAATTGAGCAAGCCCTGTGCAAATATCAGTGCATATCTTGTAAGAGAGAAGAGTAACAGGTCTTTTTGAAGAGGAGACAAAAATGGAATAAACGAGCTACCCCCTGGGTTTATGTTGGAATAGCTGTACAGTTGAAATCTACCCAACTTTTGTTTCCTGTTTTTATAAGTGGCTTTCATCAAAGTGCTGGTCATGAGTAAGTTAACGCCTACAGAGCTGTCACTGTCAAGTACTGTGTATCGCTGAATTCATAGCAGTTTTGGCAGTGCTGAACTGTGTGCACATGTGTTTAAATGCATTCCCCACTTCTCTGAAGGAGTTATTTCCAGAGATCCCAAGTGTGGAAGTGGATCTCTCAGATGACTTTTGACTCTGCAGAGGGGGATAAGTGTCTTTTGAAAGACTTAGATTGGCACATGTACAAATACCCTTTCCTCCATCCTGATACATGAGAAAGGCTAGGGATGATGTAGTGCAAGAATTGCTTTTGCGGGTTTTATGTGGTGCTGTAGAGGAAGAGAGATCTGGGGTGATAACCATCATGCTGGGAAATCCTCCTCTTCTGCGCAGTGCTGAAAACTACCCCTTTTCTAATTTCCTGCAGAGTATTTTACTGACATTCAGGTAAAGCTGCCTTTGTTCAGGCTTAGCAGAGGATGTTCTCTCAGGAAGTTAAAGGACATCAAGAACTAAAGTGTACTGGGGCAAGTTCCTAATTACTCATCTGATCCCTGCAAGGGAGATAGCAAGGAATGGTTTTGTAGTTTGCTCGTGTTTTGTTTGTTAATATAGCAGTTCCATAGCAATCAGTTATTTGAAGGACTGGGGAAAAAAAAACCTACCTAGTTATCTTTATTTGCTTCTTTAGGCCTTTTTCTTGCCTTTGTGCATTCCTAGAAATTTGTTGAGCCCAACTGTGCAATGCTTATTGCCGTGTTTATTTCGCTAACCTGCAGTCTCCACAGTGCTACATTAACTCTCTTCCACTCAGACTAAGTCAAATCAGAGTGGTTACAGTGGTTTCAAGCAGCAGAGCAATTTTGCCAGGAGCTGAGGAATTGCACTGACTCCATCTCTAATGAGTACCCTTAGCAGTCATGATAGGAATTTTGGGTGAGAACAGGGCTTGCACTAATTACAGAGGCTTAGTCACAACTTGTTAACTCCGTGTTGAAGACGTGCTCTTAGAAGTAGCCATACTTGGACAGACTGGGAATTGAGAGAAAGCACAGTCTTATGCTTAAGGCACTGAACACTGGCATCTCCAATAATCTGGTTTAATTTCTTGTTTGCCTTGTACTTCTTATGTCACTTCTTATATTTCTTTCTCTTTCTGTGCCTCAGTTCTGCAGCTATAAAATCACATTCCTGTTTGTCTTCTCCCCTGCATTCATGGCAAGTGCTTCAGGATGAGTATATTAGTTGAGCAATGCAACACACAGTGCAGCATGGCTGTGGAAGGTCAGGAGAGCCCTACATGACATCTTAGAGTTTCTGTAGTTTGAAAATATGTCATTGGCTTTGGATTGTGAGGCAGGAACAGCCTTGAATGCTCATTTAACTCCTACAGCTAATTTTCTGTTGTAGATTTGGGACTTTTCTTTCAACCTTGAAATTTTGCTGGTTTTCTGTTCTGCAGGGCAGGGAGTGCTGAGGCTGAATTAATTGAATTTTTCTTAAGTTATGTGAGTGCTAAATAAGATACATTGTTAAAATTTACCATATCCTCTGCATATAAAGAGGAGTGGAAAATGAGTAAATGAGAAGAAAATGCGTGACGATATCTAATGTATTCTAAGACCAAGCTTCTAACCTTCTCTGTTTCTTTCTGTTTCTTCCAGGTGGAGCGGGAAATAGCCATCCTGAAGTTGATAGAACATCCCCACGTTTTAAAGCTGCATGATGTTTACGAAAATAAAAAATATTTGTAGGTATTACTGGCTTTTGCCAGAGAAAGGGGAAGGGAAGGAGGAAGGAAGGGAGGGAGATCAGGGTTTTGGAACTTGATAACATTTCTGAGAGGATAGAACAGGTGTGTTTTCATCCTCTGCTGGTGTCCGTCTGATATTTTGTACTTGGATGAGGAATGAACACTCATTATTCCCCTCTCTTTTCTCATTTTCTCTGTACTTTCATAGAATCATTAAGGTTGGAAAATACATCTAACATCATCATCCTGGTGCCATCACACTCACCGCTAAACCATGTCCCCAGGTGCCACCTCCACACGTTTTTTTGAACATTACCAAGGATGGTGATTCCACCACTTCCCTGGACAGCCCGTTTCAATGCCTGACCATTCCTTCAGTGAAGAAATCTTTCCTGATATCCAATTCAAACCTCCCTCGGTGCAACTTAAGGCCATTTCCCCTCATCCTGTCACTTGTTAGCTGGGACAAGAGACCAACCCCCACCAGTCTACAGCCTCCTTTCAGATAGTTGTGGAGAGCGATAAGGTCCCCCCGAGCATCCTCCTCTCCAGACTAAACAACCCCACCTCCCTCAGCCACTTCTCATAAGACTTGTGCTCCAGGCCCTTCATTAGCTCCGCTGTCCCTCTGCGGACGTGCTGCAGCACCTCAGTGTTTTTTGGCATGAGCCTTTACTTCTATGCTGCCTTTTTTTTTTTTTTTTACTTAAAATGGAGGAGGGAGGACAAACCAGTGTTTTCTGTCAAACAGCAAAAGAGGAGGAAGGTTTATACATGTAAGATCTGGAACCATTTTGAATGAAAGCTGTAACAGACTTACAGTGGATAATTTGGATAACCCCCTTTGCCTAATTGTTTTCATTGAAACCCTTAACTCTCATTATAAGTGTTTTAAATTTTCCCCATCAATACAGTTTTTGGTTTTTAAGGGCCAGTGAAATCTCCTGATGGTGCTGCAGTAACAGTTATGTAGCAAAGCTTTTTTTTTTTAAGATATTTTTCCCCCCAATTACTAGTTACTAGTGCTAGACAGGGATGATGTCCACAGACAAGCATTTAGCTTGATTTAGGGCACTAGATATGTTGGATCTGTTGTCAAACAAGCAGGCCACATTAACCTTGGAACAACAGGAAAAAAAATCAATGTATTCCAAATGGAAAATGGTGACCCAGTGGGAAACTTTGTGTTATTTTCAGCTTTTTAACAAGTTATTACAAGTAGGAGAGAGTGGTTAAAAAAAGATTAAACAGCTTTGAAAAGCCACTATCCATCGGTGGGTTCTTTTTAATGTCACAACACAAGAAGGGAATGACTGTTTATCTAAAGAAAGTGTGTTGAATGGAGGTAACAGTCCCTCATGGACTATTCAGCCAGTCTTGTTACTGGAGCAATGAATTCCTGTTCTGAGAAGTGAGGCCTCTTTGCCTAAGGGTTAGCTTAGTAGAGCAGGCAGTAATTTCTTCTGGATTCCCCACGCTCCTTTGGGGCAGAGCCTGCCATCCACAGTGAAATGCAGTTGCCAGAAAGAGCTCGTGCAGGCACTGGGTGGAGGCTGGCTCAGATGTTCTCCGAGCTGCATGCTCAGTGCTCTGTCCTCAGTGGCATAAATGGTCACGGCTCCATGAAGCCCAGTTTACTCCAGCTGAGGACAGAGGCCCAGATCTACCACAGCCCTCTCTGTGTGCAGAAGGGTAGCAGTGGAAAATCAGGCTTAACAGGGCATAAATTTTCCTTTAATCCTGAAAAGAGAGGCACCGTTGGTAAGAGTACATTCCTCTATATTCTGGTTTAAAGAGGGGGTAGGATGAGGCCCAAGGCTTTCTTTTGATTAAGATGGAGAAAATATTCCTCTTTGTGATCTTTGTTTCTATGTTATGTATTCTTAGGTATGCACACACTTACATAAACATAGCATAGAGCTAATGTGTTCCAGATAGGTGTAGTACACTTTAGCAGCAGTGACAATGTATGAATACATGCAGAAGGCCATGAGGGGATGTGTTTTGGAGTTGCTCAAGCTTTATTAATGCTCTAAATGCCTGTGCAGCCAGCAGCTGAGCTGAGCTCTCCTTCTTTGCTCCAAAAGACTTGGGGGTTGTTTTATTCCTTGTGAAAAATATCTAGTGCTCAGAGCAGTGGCTATGGTGTTACACCATGATTACAAAAAAATACTGCATTTCTTGGCAGGAAAATATCCTCCTGATGAAAATCACCTTGAAAAGGAAAGCATCCCATATCTTTAAGCTATATCTGGATATCTTGGCTTCTAAAAATGTTGGGCTCCAAAGCATGCTTTGCCAGTGTCCATTTAGCCTTTAACAATCACTAAGTCTGCTTTGTGCTATAGCTCCTTTGCCTGTGAGATTAAGCTGTCTGAATCCCCCTGAAAAGGCACCAGATCCCTCTGCTGAAAGACACTGACTCTGAAAGAACCAATGACTGTTAATTATGTTTCATTTTTTATTAGTCACTATTTTAAAGAAAGGGCACAATGCAGAGCTCCTGCCAAGCCTCCATGTTCAAAATTAGAAACAGCTGTGGCCTTGGATAAATCTGAGACATGAAAGAGAGTGCCTGTGGAGGGTTGAGGTGTTACAAGTGTGTGGGGGCTGAGAAGTGTGTGTGCTTGTACTTTTCCAAATAACAGACAGGGTGACCTCTGGTTATCACCAGCATCAAAAAAGGGATTGCTCTCTGGTGGTGGCAGCACCTTTCCATCATGCATGCCATCTCAGCAGTAACAGCAGTGGCATGGTTTCAGAGGAGCTCATGAATTATGGGTGATATTTCAGAAGCTAGAGACTAATCACAATGCAGCGCTGGGGAGTATTTCCTCGATAAATGTTAATTTCACAAATCATGTTTGACTTTTAGTTTATGATTTAATTTGTGACAAGGGGCTTTGGTTGAGTAGATTCCTAATGCAACCATGAATCAAATCCTTTTTCCACAGTTTATTTAACACTGAAAATGAGTTTTAAAAAATAATAATAAAAATCTGTTAGCATATGTGTGTTAGCCAAGCAGTCTTTCTCTGTTTGTTTTAGTCAGGTTCTTTTTGCCAAGATGGCTGGAGAGATGGAGAAAGCTATGAGATCTAAGATTTAATGCTCTAAATGCTCTTTATCCAGCATTTTGAGTTGACTTATTTTGTAAGACTGTGGACTACAGATCTAGGAGCGTGGGGGAAAACATGGTTGCACTGAGGCTCTCTGTAAGTGTGCTTAGATATACATTGTGTTGGCTAAACGAGCAGTATTATTGACAGATGAATTATTTCGTATACATTGTACGATCACACTGATGGTCTTCAAGCAAGGTTGGGAGTCCACAGTAATAGATAATTTAGAAATAGATATAGACAATCAATGTCTCCCTCTCTCCCATCATAAGATGTTAATAGACAAAACATCCACGAAGGGGATCATCTTCTAATTTTAAACATCAAGAATGAGTCAAAGTGGCCTGGACGGGACATGATCAGTGAGCTACCAAAATCCGTGTGTGCACCAGTCATTTTGAGTAATGAAGTTCAGATAGTCAGGAATTTTAGGGTGATGTGAATCATAGAATCATCACAGAACGGGTTGGATTGGAAGGGACCTTAAATCATCTAGTTCCAACCTGCCAGCCATGGGCAGGGACACCTTTGATTAGATCAGGTTGCTCAGAGCCCCATCCAGCCTGACCTTGCACACTTCCAGGAATGGGGCATGTACTTATGAACTAAGGGACTGAGCAAGTTGGTTAAAAAAGATGGTAACAAAGTTTCTGTGTGTTCTATAATGCCTGTCGGAGGGGACACACTCCTTTGGTCACACGGTTTCTGCATTGCATATGAACTGTGTGAACCTGGCTGATGGTCCCGTTTTCTCTGTGCTGTGTATAGAAAAGGTCTTTCCTGAACTGACCCTACACAGTGTTCGTGTAGCAACTGGAGAGGAAGGTGGAGTTCATACATTGTTAGAAGCACTAACACTGTGAATGAGCAGGTTCTCATTAGCAGACTTCTTGAGGATTAAAGAAGAGGAAAATATGCAAAGCCCAGTCCTTCATGAAAGAAGTGACTGGCTAAGATGTTTTCTAGGAAGCAATCTTATGCTTTATTCTTAAATCTCTGATATCTGTATTTACTGCACTTTATTTACTGTGTTTTATGCAGTACAGTCGGCTTTTCTTTTGATCATAGAAAAGCAATTGTCCCACTGTTGGAGGAGCTGTTAGCGTAGCCAACTAAGTGCTGTCATACAGTCCACAGTAGATGGAACTTGCCTTTCCAGAGGGGATAAAGCTAACTGATACAGTTCTATTGCAGAACCCACAGCAGGGGTGGCATTATCTGTTTTGATCTCATTTGATTAGCTATTTAGTTTAAATTGCCAGGGGTTTGGTGGGAGGCAGAAATAAAATAGAAAAATTGTGGTCCATACTAGGACCACTCCTGCTGTTTTCTTTCGGATGTTTATACTGGTATTTCTCAATTCCCTTTCCATCCATGTTTGCATATATATATATATCTGTAAATTTCTATTTCTAGGTGCATACAGATATCTGTGTGTAGATTTATACTGATTAATTTTCAAATCTTCACATTTAAGATTTCAAATTTTCAAATGTCATGGCACTGTTTATTTTAAATTGCTATCTTATCTAACTTGATCAGCATTTTAAGCACGAATACATTTTGAGAGCAGGAGTGGATGCCAGGCTATTGTTCTCTGAAGTGTGCCATGCATTCATCAGCACCTTCTCCAAGTAGAAGTCCCTTTCTCATAATTCAGCAGTACAGTGCTATCACTGGGCAAGTGCCCAAGCCTCACTGCAATGTACACAACACCCCACCTCCTGATTACAGAGTTGAAGGTGCATCACAATGAGCCAAATAACAAAATAAAAATGTCCTCCTACCCATGCACAACTTATTTTTCCAGCTTATGCAAGATCAGCTGACAGCAGGAGTTGAAGACGTACAACTCTGGTGGTGTCTGCAGAGGCC